TTTCGTGTTAAAGGGTCTGCAACTATTAAAGTCATGCCATGAAAGCCTATGCGTCTGCTAAAGGGTCTGCCACTATTAAAGTCATGCCAGTGTTTTTGCTATGATCCAAAACTGAAATTATATTTGTGTGTTTAACGCAATTTCAAAGATTATTTGGTAATATAAATTTGTTACAAAATTTTGAAAAGTAAAAATATAAAAGCATGTTTGATAAAAAAAATGTTACACGTTTCACAAAATTGAATGAGTAGTTAAAAATGTCATTTTAGAAAAGAAAAGAAAAATTTAGCAGTGCTTTGTAATAATGCGAAAATAAATAAAAGTATCATTTTTATACTTTCGATTTTGACTTTAAATTTAAAAGCACTTCGGTATTATTCAAATGACAGCAAAACGTTATCATGTTTTATTTCGCTACAATATATCAACAAAACACGAAACAAAACTATTAGCCAAACGTGACCTATGTGTTTTGAATGGAATTGGATATGTTGTGTTATAAGATTATTGAAGCAACTATTTATTTATTTTTGAAGTTATGGCTTTACATTTATTTCAGACTTACCAAGAAATTACTGGATTATGACATGAGCTTTTAATGCCACAAAGTCATATAGCTTGTCAATTTCATGAAAGCCTACATGCCTATGTATTATCTGCATCTAGATAGTAAATCCACTAATAATATGCCTACGTTCAAATTTTTATTTTTGTGAAATATTTTTGTTTGCCGTTTAAATTTCAATAATACTGTAAAATATGTCAATTTTACCACCAATATAAATGAAACAATTTTAAACGTTTTGATACGTTAATACATTGTGGGTCATCAACCTATCAACACGAATAAATTGATATGTGTCGTCACCAACTCAACCGTTTTGCTTTCCTAATACAATTTTAATTCTATATTTTTTTCAAATATAATTTTTTTTTACTAAATTCAATATCTTTTCGCTTGGAAGATTCTTCTTTCCCCTTCGGTGAAAGAGCAGATTCGTCTTTTTCTTCTTAATGACGTCATCCTAATTAAGTAATAAAATATATATATACACACACTTTGTGAAACATAGATTCTTATAGATCTTTGTGGATAATTTTTATTTTTTAATTTTTTAAAGATCTTTTAAATTTTGTTTGTATTGATAAATATATATAGATATTATTTTGTTTTGTTTTTGGAAATTTATACACCTTTGATTTAACGAAAAAAAGAGAGAGTTTATATACCATTTAGTGATAAAACGAGTCGAGAACACTTTTAGGATTTAACTATGTCTATAAATGCATTATGTCATATTTTAGTCTTACTTAATTTAAAATTTTAATTTTAATAAATTATACTTATGCATTTATAAGTTATCAAGAAAAGATGGGGAAATAACAAATTTTTATTTATTTATAGATAAAAATAGTTAATTATTTGAATTATAATTTTATTTATTAATTTGTGATGAATTTATGATATCATAGTTATTGATTAATTATATTTAATTAATTCTTTTCTTTCACAGTTAATGTGATAGTGTCAATTTGTAAAAAATCACAAGAGTGAGTATTCCCATGACTTCTTGTATGCAAAATAGCTTCGTGGAGAATGGAAATGTTGAAGATTGAAATGTAAGTGTACTCCAAACAAGAAATTATAAACCTATAGGGCAAGACTTGTTGATTTCTAAAGCCCCTGGTATCTATTAATCAGATTGTAGCTAGCATTCGAAGCCAAGGTTCGCAGCAACATCTCTTTTGCTTTTTCAATAGTAAATATGACCGACATATTCGTCAGCATTGGCTTTATGGAGTATTAGTCAAGTCATGAAGGGTCATTATGTCTTCTTTGCTCCAAAATCTTGTAGACTTTGGGAGCGTGCTGCTACCATTTCGTGTGCTTAGGTTTTAATTAATTGATAGCTCTGTTTTCAGGAAGGTGCCTTGTCAGGGACTTGATTTTTCTAGTCTTGAAGTTGATTTATTTATTTTTCCGCGGACAATTGTAGTTTCGGACTTATTAGCATATTTCATAATCTACCATGGATACATGATGGACTCTCTCGTCCTACATATGCATCAAATATGCAATAAAGTACAAACAAAACGAGCCGAGCCGAGTAAAGTAAAGGCCTGTTCGAGCTCAGCTCAGTAGTATAGCAAGTGGTCGAACTCGACCTAAGATCCTACGAACTTGATTTGGTACCGTCCACTAGCATTTCCAACTTCGGTCGAAACTCTTTAAAATCGCACATATACATACAGAAATTTACAAACAAATTAAACATCTAAGCATATTTATATGCATGCTTGTACCTAATCGTTTCACTGAGTTGTAATCTCGATCATCACTATTGATCTCCGATTTCCCTTACTTGTTTCTATTGTTATAAGGCACTTGCAGAGTTTCTAGTCGATCATCAACACAATATGAGAGAAATGAGAGAGGATGAGTTCAGATATTTGAAATTAGCTGAGTGTGTGAGTCAGAGAGCTAACTTTCAGGCTTCAGCATTGACGGAGCGTAGTCGCCGGGTAGTTCTCTGACAGTCGGATGGAAGCTTGATCGCTTGGATAAGGCTAATTTTTGTTGCAAGGGATGAAAATCTCGATCATAACATTTTCAATTAAGATTCTCGCAACCCGTTATTTTCTCCAAATCTTTTTATTCACAAAACATGAGAAAATAAAATTTTCACTTCTTTTCATTTTGCATTCCTATTTTATCCTAATCCAACAATTTCATTCATACTTTCAAACCAACAATAACTTGTCGTTTGCAACAATAACTTGATTAGTGCCTGATATTGAATTAACTTGATTAGTGCCTGATATTGAATTAACTTGACTTCTACTCCTAATTGTTGTTTTCCATCCTATATGGTAATCAAATGAATAGTTATAGTAATAGTTTGCTAGGTTTGAATTAATTGAAAACTCCATCATATTATATGTATATATTATTATTCTACTATTTATTTTATTATTAATTTTTTTATAAAATAAGGACAGTTTAGGTAAGTACAAATATTTTTAGTAACTTTTATACTGTTCAAATTATAACATGATATTTTTCTATAATTTTTTTGAATAAATTTTCAAACAAACCAAATGTATCCAAGAAAATTAATTTTGTTTTCATTAATTTTACTTCACTTTTCTTTTCATTTCTTTTATTTCTTTTCTTTTATTTTCTCGCTAGTTCCATCTAACCAAACAGAGCCTTTTATCCTATGAAGTAACAATCAACCAAGCTGCCCAATTGAAGTAAATTCTGGTGAGATATGAAGCTTTGTCTAGGCAATTGGTGAACTTTGATAAATCTAGTGCCTTCTTAAGACTGCTCAAATAAACGACTCATATTCACAATACTCGAGAACTCTTTTGGTGACCATCTAGCTTATAATATGTGAGCCTAACAAGCTGAGTCACGTGATTTTGGGATTTGGTTTGTTTTATTTTATTTTATTCCCTTAAAGCACGAATATGGCACCACAATACACGCATTATTTAAGTCAAGAAAGCGAGATCTCAATGACTTACTTTCTAGATCCCTGCAAACGCCACTATGCCCCTCGGAGCGATTTGGTTTGTTTATATAACAAGCTTCTAAAATATTTTTAAACTTGAATTGTTACTTAGAAAACAAAACTCTAGCCCTTGCTAAAATTAGCCCTGACCGTCCCTGATTAACTTTTTCACTAGTAACCCCAACAAAAAAGCAGATTATAGCTCAATTGGACTGTAGTCTGTACTCTACTTACGCAAAACCATATATGAGCAGAGGCATATTTAATAATTTATAGAAGGAACGAAATTGTCACACCCCATTAAAACATATCAATTATCATCGTATATATTTTGTCCAGAATTCCCTTTCTTGACCTTTATTGCAGTGCACCTCGTGTATAGCAGAAGAAAATCCATAGCTAACTCTTGAGTCTTCTCTGCTTCCACTGAGTTTGCTACTTATTTGAAACAGTAATTCAGGCCTGAAGTTTCCGAATCAACATAGTCATTATTTGAAGAAAGCAATAATATCTACAATTATAATTGAGCTGCATTTGGCATCATGGAATATATTCTTCAAAAGCAGAGAGAAAAAACTAGTTAAAGAGTTTGCTCATGCATGTTGTTATATATATATATATATATATATATATATATATATATATATATATAATTAATATATATATAGGTTTGCTCGAACTCTAACACCATCTCAAATTTATAGTCATGCATGTTGTTATATATATATATATATATAATTAATTCATATGCACATTATATATACTTGTATGCTCAAAATTCCGTTGTAACATTTTATTTTAGGCTCATGACACTGTGTTTCTATGTCCCTACAAATAGAAAAACGTGGATATGAAACTGCTCTACTTAGTATATGCATATAAACGCAAAGAGAGACACACGTACAAATATGTAATGTGTATGATTGTACATTGAAGATAGAGGGATAGAGGTCTGACCATTTGAGAGAAATTTATCCTCCGAATTCAACTTTTGGAACTTTCTCCGCACCCGAGCTGCTGTCACCGCAATTGCCGCCACTAGTCTGTTGTGGATGTTCTCCACAAATTGAAAGTATGCATACCTCCAAGACTTCTTCAAATGCAAAATGCCACGGATTCTCGATAAGCCAACCAAAAAACCAGATCAAATGCCAGCACAGAACTAAATAAATTCTGTTTTTTTCTCCCCCTTTACTCCCATCAAATGGTTTATCAACAAAGCAACTCTTCAAGGTTGGGGGTCCGCAAAGTCCACTGTTTCCTATGTAGCTGGTATACTCAAACGTCCCGAATTGACGTTCAATTGGTATTCTCCCTGACAGATCATTGAACGACAAGTTTAGCAAGCTTAAAAACAGCAACTCGGCCATGCTTGGAGGGATTGGACCAGAAAGGTTGTTTCTGGACAGATCCAGAGATTCCAATTCTTCCAAATTGCGAATCTTCTTTGGGATGCTTCCATTTAGATGATTCATGGATACATTAAATGAAAACAACCTAGTGAGACCCATTAACTCTTCAGGGATCTCTCCAACTATGTGATTGTTTGAAAGGTCCATGGATACGACAAATGGGAGTAATTTGTTGCGATATACAAATTCACGTCCTTTAGTCACAAGTTCAAAGCTTTCCTCATAGTTTATATCGACACCATATTTCACATGTTCCTCAAGCCCGTGATTCACAACCATACCAAAGAATTTGCCGAAACAGCGAGGGATAGGTCCAGTTATATTATTATGTGCCAAGTTTAACACTTGAAGATCAGAGAGTTGGCAGAGCTGTGGAGGAATATCACCATATAACTCATTATAATCAAAAGCCAAAAATTTCAAATTTCGTAGCTTTTCTCCTATCCACGGAGGGATAAAGTTGGTCAATTCATTTTTACCTAGATCTAGGATGTGCAGATATGTCAAATTCTGCATAGATATAGGGAACTTCCCATGAAATTTATTTTTGCGCAAGCGTAAAGAATTGAGTTGTCGAAGGGAACCCAAAGAATTGGGAATTTCACCATATAGACTGTTATTCCACAGATCAAGCACCTCCAATCTATACAAGTCACCCACGCACGAAGGGAGTCCTCCAGATAATTTATTGTTTGAGAGATCAATAAACCGCATGGTCTTTATCTCGCATAAATACGTTGGAATGCCACCGCTCAAACGGTTTTTCGAAAGAAGAAGAACTTCCAATATGGCATTCCTACTTCCATCATTGAGAGGAATATGTCCTGAAAGTGAGTTGTTGGAAAGATCCAACACAACAACATTTGAAGGAAATGGTGTCAACGGACCCTCAAATTCGTTGGAATTCAAAATTAACTCCCTATTCAAACCATAAGATTCTTGGAATTTTGGTAATTTTCCTCTGATCTGGTTGTGTGATATATTCAAGTAGTTGATGTGAGAATACACATTCTCAAACCAATCCGGGATGGTATCTGAGATGCTTGCTTCAGAAATGATTAGCACTTCAACAAGTCTTTGTGTTTGAAGCCATGGAGGAAATTGAGGTCCCAATTCGCAGGATGCCATTCTAATAAATCGGAGTTGAAAAGGAGGAACCCATTGGTTGCCTACCTTCATTTTCAACAAGTTCCAAGACATTGACAATTCCCTCAACATCGTCAGATTGACAAAATGACGTTCAGATACCACACCGGACAATAAATTACTGGAGATATCTAACCTCTCTAACTTTGGAAGTTGTCCAATACTCGAGGGAATGCTTCCATTCAATTGATTATCACTAATATCCAACCATTTCAATGATGACAGTCTTCCAAGTGATATTGGGATCCGACCACTGAACGAGTTGGAACGAAGAAGAAGGTGGTCTAGGTTCTCAAACTCTCCCAAGTGATTTGGCAGAAAGCCACTGAAGTAATTTGATCCAAGATGCAACGCCTTTAAACTTTTTTGGAGGCAAGTAGATGTATTTCTCACAAAAAATGGAACCTCTCCACTGAAATTGTTGTAAGACAAATAGAAGCACTGCAAATTGCAGAGATTCTGGATGGTTCGTGGTATTTCATTTTCTAACTCATTGTAAGAGAGGTCAAGAACAATTAGTTGTGTAATATTGCCCATCTCACTTGGAATTGAACCTTGAAAACTATTTGTAGAGAGGTTAAGGACGGCAAGCGAAGTCAGATTCTCAAGGCAAGGAGGAATTGAACCTAGAAAGGTCATAGAATTGAGGTCCAAATGAGAAAGGCTGTTCAACCGACATACCCAATTAGGCATTAATGAAATATCAAAGAAGTTATTAGAAAGATCAAGGAAGGTGAGAGAGGCCAAACTCCCAATAGCATCAGGAATCGGACCATGTAGAGAATTCATGTGAAGATTGAGATATTGCAACCTTGAGAGGTTTCCAAGATGGTAGGGAACTTGTCCCTCGAAAAACGAATTGGAGAGGTCAAGATGTCTCAAGTTCTTAAGAGAGCCTAAGAAACTTGGCATCTGCTTCATGCTTGAAAAATCATTATTGCTCAAGTTCAAGTAATTCAAATGCTTCAAATCAAGTATGGAAGGATTGATCTCACCTTGCAAGCGTGCTCTCTCGTGATATGTTGTATAATTGTCATAGGTGATGTACATAGCAAGATTGAACAAAATTGGATTGCGTAGATCAAGCTTCAAGACTCTGCCTGTTTTGTTGCTGCAATCCACTCCCGTCCACGTACAACAATCTTCTCCAACCCACGCTGACAGACGGTTTGAATGATCTATGAGGACTTCCCTGAACTTGGTAAGAGCTTTTAGCTCACTCTTGATGCAGCTTACATTTGGAACTTTATCGTGCTGCAACTGAACCGCGGATCCTATGAAAGGAAGAGCTAGTAATATCACAAGAAGAACAATTCCTGAGAGTGTTTTCATAGTTTCTTGTATGCAAAATAGCAAAGTAGAAATGTGAAGATTGAGTTGAAGTGCAGTTGTAATTTGTTAACAAGAATCAAATTATGATGTTTGCAAGACTCCACAAGACTTTTTAAAGTCCAAGTCGATGTGTGCATGCAACGAACAGTTTGAACTAGTAACTAAACTAATAATAGAGCTTGTTGATTGTTGACTCAAGTCTCCGGGACGCGTCTAGGTAATTAGGTACGTAATTGCTTATGCCCCACAAAGTAAAATAATATATGAATTTAAAACATATATTTTGAAGTTGGCTAAGCTAAGGAATTGAATTCCCTGTGCATTCTCAGCCGCCAAACAAAATTCATAAACAAATTTATACACACATATATAAATATATATAATGAAGAGGTACTAACCCCTTGGGAGCAAGAAACAACGCCATTGCCAAGATTGTGAGATTTAAGTGCAGAAGGAACAGGCAAGGTCATTGATGAATCTTCAGCGCAAGTCATTCTTTGCTTCTTCAGAACAGAGACGATTCAAACTCTCAGCCAAAACCCAACTCATAACTGATAAAAAAAATTAAAATAAAAAAAAATACTCCAACTGAAAGGAGATATTGGAGTGATGATCGATTGGTGTTCGGGGGTTTATGTATTACCAAACATGTTTTCAAGAACAATAGTCACTCTTCAGTTTTATCAAAAAAATAAAAAATACCAGTGAGCAAGCAGGACCAAAATTATTACTGTATTATTATTATTTATTTACTTTTAAAAATAAGAAACTGTTCCGAAAAATTGAAATTGAACATGCCCATTTTTTATAATTTCTGCCGTCATTATGATGCATTGACTTGCTATATACTTTATATGTATATGCAGAACTTGAATCCGTACCATTCAGCATTCACTTTGGAAAGCAGAAGATACAAGAATGATTTGGAAATGGCGGAGTAATGTAAGAAGATGCATGATAGAAAATAGGTTGCAGTTTTTGAGTTGATGATCATTGTCCAGCTATCAACATTTCGAGTTTGAGAACAGTCATTTTGTGTAAAAAAATAAAATAAATAAGCTTTCGATTCACTGTTTTCCTCCTACTATCCGCGAGTCTACGACTAATTCTAGACTAATAAATTGCAGAACTACATATTGGATAAAAACTCAATTGATAAAAAAAAAAAAAAAAAAAAATTAGCTTTCGATTCACTGTTTTCCTCCGACTATCCGCAGTCTACGACTAATTCTAGACTAATAAATTGCAGAACTACATATTGGATAAAAAACTCAATTGATATAGCATAATAAGAACTCCATGAAATAACCAAAACTGTTCAGCATCGTCCAACTTTATTATCCAGGACGAGGACGTCCTTTATTCCACTGATCCTCTTTACAGCTCAAAAATCATAGCTGACTGTTAGCTCCACCATGTAATCTGAATCGGCATTTTGGAATTAGATTTTTTTTTTTTTTCCCCGGGAATGTTGCTGATTTTATTAATTCATATAAAACAATAAAGTACAAAGGGAAAAGGGATCAAAAACCACTAAGAAAACTATTCTAACATTATACCCCAGGCTAGAAGAAACACACTGAATAAAAAGAAGTAAAGCTAAAACAACACATTCAAATCAGCTAAGGAGAGTCCCATAGAAGACAACCCTTCTGTGCAGTGCAGTATTCCATAGCTAACTGATTAACAGGAGTCGGAAGACCACCATGTAATCTGTTATTCCTTTCAGACCGTAAACACTAAAAATAGTAATGTAGAAGCATCTAGTAATCCTGCTCTAGCTCTCCATAGAAGAAGACACTGAATCGGAGATGAACCACTGAGTAACTGCACGAAAGGTCCGTAGATGCTGCGCGCAGTCCCTCCCAATTACACAGTTGCATAAACCAGTTCCACAATGGAGAAGCATAGCTGCATGTCTAGAAGATGTGATCATTAGAATCTTCCCCACAGTAATAATTACGACACACACAGGTTAAAGTTAATCCCCTTCTTCGAAGGTTGTAGTACTAGGACTACCAAAATAGAAATCCTAGGTCTACAAACATTCCAAGCTGCTTTAAAATAAAATTTACCATGCTTCCATATATCAGTATCCTGTTTTGGAATTAGAATTGGTCAAACGACTTAATGCATCCCAATTCTAAGGTGTCTATTTGATTTTCTTAAACACAATTCTAAGGTACTTTCTTGGGTAGCTTTAATAGAGTGTAGGATCTGGGACATGTTACATTACCATACACACACAATAAAAATAATTCAAAACAGAGGTAGGAATGAAATGGAGATTGAGAGCCTATTCTTCAAGTTAGCTGATAATTGAGGAAACCCTCCACTATGCTAAGATTGTTAAAATGAGTTTATAGTTTCAGTTTAAGTTCCAAAGGGGAAAATGCAAGAAACACTAAAACAAATTAAGACAGACAAAATAATATGTTCATGAAATACAAAAAGCGTAGATTGGCTAATATACATGTGTGTATTCAAGAGAGAGAGAGACTAACCATTTTAGCATGAAATTTATTTTCCAAAATTATCTTTTCCGAACTTTCTCCGCACCCAAGCTGTCTTCAATGCAATTGTCAATGATAATTTGTTGTACATGTTCTCCACAAGCTGGAAGTATGCATACCTCCAAGATCTTTTGAAATGCAAAATGCCGCAAACTCCTAAGAAGCCAACCAAGAAACCAGGTCCGATTCCTGCATAGAACCACAGAATTTCCGACTCATCTCCACCTTTACTCTCGTGAACAGGCTCATGAGCATTAGACAATTCATCAACTGAGCAACTCTTCAAGGGTGGTGGTCCACAAAGTCCATTGTTGCCCATGTATATAGATGCATCTTCAAGGGTTTGCAGTTGATATCCTGTTGGTATCCTCCCTGATAAATTATTACATGACAGGTTTAAGCGGCTTAGATAGTACAAAGCAGACAAGCTTTGAGGAATTGAACCGGAAAGTTCATTTCTGGACAAATCAAGAGATTGCAATTGTTCCAAACGGCCAATATTCTCCGGAATCCTTCCTTTAAGATGATTTCCAGCTACATTTAAACTCACCAACCCAGAAAGATTCATCAACTCTTCTGGAATGTTCCCAACTAAATGATTATTTGAAAGATCTATGGATGTGAGAAGTGAGAGGATTTTGGTAAATTCAAATTCTCTTCCTTTCATAGAGTCTAATATGCTTTCTCTGTAATTTATATCCACACCATATTCCTCATATTCCTCTAGTCTGTGATCAAAAACCATGGCAGTGAAGCTACCAAAACAAGGCGGAATATCCCCAGTGATATTATTGTGCGCCAAGTTTAACAGTTGAAGATTGAAGAGATTGCAGAGTGCAGAAATATCACCATAAAAGTTATTCGATTTAAGATTCAAAAATTTTAGGTAACTGAGCTTTTCTCCAATCCATGGAGGTATGATATCAGTGAACCCATTTTCACTTAGATCGAGAATGTGCAGATATGCCAAATTCTGTAGAGACAAAGGGAGCTCTCCGTGGAACTTGTTGCCGCGCAAGTGTAAAGAATTAAGTTGCTGCAGGGAACCCAAAGAACTAGGCATTTCACCATATAGACTGTTATTCGACAGATCAAGCACCTCTAGTCGATACAAGTCTCCCATGCACCAAGGAAGTTTCCCTGATAATTTATTTTTTGAGAGATCAATAAATCGCATGGTTGTTATCTTGCACAAATATGTCGGAATGCCACCACTCAATTGGTTATTTGAGAGAGTAAGAATTTCCAATCTGACATTCCTGTTATCAATTTGAGGAATATACCCTGAAAGTGAATTGTTGGAGAGATCTAACAAAACAACATTTGAAGGGAACAGTGTTAACCGCCCCTCAAATTTGTTAGAATTCAAAATTAACTCCCTATTGGTACCATTAGACTCTAGAAATTTCGGCACTTCTCCAATGATCTGGTTGTGGGATATATCCAAATAGTTAGTATGAGAATACACATTCTCAAACCAATCCGGGATGGTATCCGAGATGCCTGCATTAGAAATGATCAACTCCTCAACATTACTTTGTGTTCGTAGCCAAGCAGGAAATTGTTGTCCGAGTTTGCAGGATGCCATTTTGATATATTTTAGTTGAAAAGGAGGAATCCATTGGGTGCTCACATCCACAGCCAACAAGTTTGAAGACATGGACAATTCATTTAAGTTGATGAGATTGGAAAAGTGAGATTCTGATACCACACCATCTAAAGAATTGCTAGAGATGTCTAACCTCAGTAGCTTTGAAAGTTGTCCAACACTCGTAGGAATGTTTCCATTTAACTGATTATCACTAAAATCTAACCATTTCAATGATGATAGTCTTCCAAGTGACGCTGGGATTGGACCACTAAATGAGTTGGAATAAAGAAGAAGATACTCTAGATTCTCAAATTCACCTAACTGATTTGGCAAAAAACCACTAAACTGATTTGATCCAAGACGCAACTCCTTTAATTTACTTCTGAGGCAAGTGGATGTATTTCCCCCCAGAATTGGAATATTTCCCCTGAATTTGTTATTGGACAAATCAAAGATGTGCAAGTTGCAGAGATTCATCAAAGTGCGTGGTACTTCACCTTCTAACTCATTGTTAGAGAGGTCAAGGAAAGTAAGCCGTGTGGCATTTCCCATTTCACTTGGAATTGAACCTAGAAAACTATTTGAAGATAAATCAAGGATTTCAAGAGAGGACAATCTTTCAAGAGTATCAGGAATTGGACCATCAAAAGAGTTCATGTGAAGATCGAGATATTGCAAGCTGGAGAGGTTTCCAAATTGACGGGGAATCTTTCCCCCTAAAGCAGCATTCGAGAGATTAAGGTGCCTCAGATTCGTAAGGGAGCCTAAGAATTTCAGAATTTGGGTTCCTGAAAAATCATTATTACTCAAGTCTATATAATGCAAATGACTCAAGTTGAGTATAGAAGGATTTATCTGACCTTGCAAGTGCATATTATGTAGATCAAGCTTCACAACCTTGCCTGTTCTATTACTGCAACTCACTCCTGTCCACGTACAGCAGTCTTCTCCATCCCACGATGACAAATGGTTGGAATTATCTATTAGGGAACCCCTGAACTTGATGAGAGCATTTATTTCACTCTCGATGCAGCTTACATATGAGTCTCCATTCTGCTGCAGCCCAACTCCGAATCTTTCTATGAAAAGAAGAGTAAATAGAATCACAAGAACAGTTCTAGTTGGTGTTCTCATGACTTGTTGAATGCAGAATAACTTGGTGGAAAATGGAAATGTTGAAGATTGAAATGTAAGTGTAGCTCCAAACAAGAATTTATAATCCTATAGGGCAAGACTGGTTGACTTCTAAAGCCCCTGGTATCCATTAATCATATTGTAGCAGTTCGAAGCCAAGGTTCGCAGCAACATCGCTTTTGCTTTTTCAATAGTAATTATGACAGACCTCTTCAGTCAGCATTGGCTTTATGAAGTATTAGTCCAGTCATGAACGGTCATTATCTCTTCTTTGCTCCAAAATCTTGTAGACTTTGGGAGCGTGCTGCTACCATTTCGTGTCCTTGGGTTTAAATAATTGATAGCTCTGTGTCTAGGAAGGTGCCTTGTTAGGGACTTGATTTTTCTAATCTTAAGGTTGATTTATTTATTTTTCCGCGGACAATGGTGGTTCCGGACTTATTAGACTACTTCATAGTCTACCACGGGATACATCATACATGACGGACTCTCTCCTCCCACATGCTAATCAAATATGCTACAAAGTACGATACGAGCCGAGCCGAGCCGAGTAAAGTAGAGGCCTGTTCGAGCTCAGCTTGGTAGTCTAGCAAGTGGTCGAACTCAACCTGAGATCCTACGAACTCGATTTGGTACCGTCCACTAAGCGTTTCGAACTTCGCTATATATATATATATATATATATATATATATATATATATATATATTACATAGAACCGCACATATATATGCAGAAATTTACAAACAAATTAAACATCTAAGCATATTTATATACATGCTCGTATCTAATCGTTTCACGGAGTTGTGATCTTGATCATCACTATCGATCTCCGATTTCCTTTATTTGTTTCCATTATAAGGCACGTGCAAAGTTTCTGGTCGACCATCAACACAATATGAGAGAGGATGAGTTCAGATATTTGAAATCAACCGAGTGTGTGAGTCAGAGAGCTAACTTTCAGGCTTCAGCATTGACGGAGCGTCGCCGGGTAATTCTCCGACCGTGGGATGGAAGCTTGATCGCTTGGATACGGCTAATTTTTGTTGCAAGGGATGAAAATGTCAGATGATGGTATATAGGATGGGCTTGAACTATTGGGCTTTTAAAGTGAATGAAGCTATTTGGGTTGGGTTGCTATGTTTAAATATACCAAAACGTTAAAGTTAAAATTAATTGGGCCTAAAAATCATATATTGTGTGTGTATATCCCTACATAATTATATATATTTTAAAAGCTGATACGTGATCATATCTATAATAAAATGGGCCTAAAAATTAAATAAATACTCATCTCATCAAAGTCATCGGACTAACTTAACCTATAGTGTTCTCAAAGGCATAGCGATATTGGTAGGAATTCGAGATTTAAGTTTTTGAGGTTTTACTTTTGAATCGCACTCCTAACTTGAATAGTGCTTGTGTTATGAAGTTTATACACACACGTACTCTAAAAAAAACTTAACCTGCAATTTCTTTTCCTGCATACGTATAATTTATCTATTGTATGACAATCATTGAATTTCAAGTACACCATCATATACTCAAATTGCATCCATATTCATAAATTATGTTCACAGCATTGAAAGAAAAAAAAAATCATTTTAAGACCCAAATAATATAGTCATGCATTGGTTTGGACTCAATCTTCTGACATATATGGACACAAAATTATGTTTCATTTAAAGAAAATGATAATTTTGACGACTCCTATCTAACGACTTTATACCAACTCAAGTAAGATCGATGTGACAAGCCACGTAATACCACGTTTTAATCACAAACTTTGGATTTTCTTCTCCCCCAATTTTCTCACTATTAGTGCTATTAGACCCAACTTTAAAAACCGTGGCCAGCCACGTGTTAAAACTTAAATGACTGTGGGCCAAATTTAAAACCAAATTATATCAATCCATTCCTTTGCATCTTAATCTGAAGAAACATGCTTCAATTAAAAAAAATAAATATAAATAATAGAAAATTCTCAAAAAAAAAAAAAAATTGAAATCTCATATGTGAATTTATGTTTATGTAATATATTTTACGATTTTTTAAGATGGATTTTGTGAAATAAAATGGGCCTCTTCATTCATGAAGCTTTCGTGTGTATGTGTAATAGCATAAATTTACCATATAAATAACTCTGGAACAATTTGCCAGAAGCCTAAGTTGTTGGAGGTCGTCGAAAGCTTGCTGAGGTTGCCGGAAGCTTCTCAAGAGGGTTTTCAGTTCAGCCCTAGATTTTGAGTATCGTTATTTTTTGTAATCCTAATTGCTTCCGAATGTGAATTTTCAACCTTAGATTTTTCTCAATGAGAGAGAATGGAAATATGTTGCAATTTCAAAGTGGCAAAATTAGAAATTAGTGACCAAAGTTTAAAAATGGAAAATATTATACTTCACGAATTTTAATTGATGAACAATACGTAAGTCCTCACTAGTAAGGATCTACATCATACTTACTATCGATGTGAACCAATAATAAATGAATATGTCATCTTTAACTACCAAATCAAATGTGAAAATCAGAGATGGTGATTTGTGTATTTTAAAAGTAATATTTTTAATATAGGAAAAATTTTAATATATGAAGGAGAGAAAAAATAACAAAACTTATAAATCTGGAATCTAAACTCTAATATAACTTAAAAACTTGAATTCAATCTTGCTATAATATATCTTCGTTTGGGATACTCTTTCTATTAAATTTATAAATAATTTAAACTAGAAGTTATATATTTTTACCATAACTGAGTGATTTCTTTCTGGTGAGTAAAAAGTTAAAACCTTAATTTTTACATAATTAAAATAATATTTTCTAATTACAATTAAATTTTAAAGAAATACACAAAAAAGATATAGAGTTGTTGAAAAACATAGAAAGTGCTTGAGAGAATATATGTATACACACTTGTATATATATTAAAAAGATTAGTAAAGGAAAGTAAATTAACCATAGAGAGAAAACATATTGTAATTATTTGTTCTTTCTTTTTTCTCGTTTAGTTCGATTTGTTAAAATAGGAAATACAAATCTTTTATAACGTAATATGTATTAAACTAGAGAACATTAATATTTTTTTAGCTATGACCAAAAAAATAATAATAAGAAAAAACAAATTAACTATCGCCACATTAGATTCAAGATTACATCTTTATATTTATTTGATTTATATTGAGTCATGTTGTTGGATTGCAAACTAGTTCATTTGGCAACCCGCTGGTATATTACAGTATGGTGTCAAACATGGCTCTGCCATGACTTCCCGAACCTCGATTGGGTTTTTTTTTTTTTATTTTATTGTTCGTGAAATGTGAATCTAAAATTGCTTTATGGTTCTTTTTGTTTGCATTATTGGGTATAATAGAGCTATAAGTGGAAATCCATACTAATTTGAGTTTCAAATGGTTGATTAGACTGAATTTTCTTCTTGTTTTTAACTATTCTTCTATCAATTGTTGGCATTTTCTTAATCCAAGGTGGAAAAGCAGTACTAACGGTACGTTTAGCATGCGTTATGATATTATTTTTTTAATATTAGTATTCAAATTTAGGCTCATATTGCGTTTGAAATGGATGATATTAATTTGAAATAATTCATAACATATTATTATTATTTTTTGTCCAAACCCATTTATCAAATTGTTGATATTGTGTGTTTTGGTATTGTAGCGGATGAACTAAAGTAAATTTATAAATTTTTCAAAATAAATTTTCGTTACCAAACATAATTCCGACACATCGCATGCCCAAACGGCAAAATTCCTAATTAACTTTTAAATTTGGTAATTATTCATAATTTTGTAAATTTCATGGTTTTGGTATATTATTTTTTTTTCCTCCTCTTAGAGCATTTGTATTGGCTCTACAATAGTCAATACACACATCATTTAAGTTATGAGTATAGTTCAAAAGAAAGATTTCAAGAACTTATCTTCCGGATCCCTCTTAATACGGTTATGCCCCTGAGCATGGTATATCAATTTTATTTAATCTTTGTTACTTCTTCTTCTTTTTTCTTTTCTTTTCTTCTTTTTTTTTTTTTTTTTCTGTACAAGATCAAAAAAGAATATCTTATGTGGAAAAAAAAAAAAAAAAAGTGGATAATAAATGTATGATATGCTATTAATTGTCTGTTCTTCCATGTGTATTAAGAATGATTCTTTAATTGCAAATGATCCAATACATAGAATCAGAACAATTAACATTTTAGATTAAAAAAAAAAAAAAAAAGATTCGGCTAGGAAACATTTACATTAAATTATAGACAAAGGATAATTTTTTTTTATTGTGACCAGAAAATCAAAGATCATAATAGAAGTATTATAATTGTAACTTTATGAAAAATACTTTTCATTCTCACCACAGTAGTTAAACTGTCAAACTAAGTTGGGCAATTAGTTTCAATTGGAGATATATATATATATTAATTTATTTGAAATGTTAAATTAGTTTAGTTGTTTTTTAAGTTAAGTTAAATTAGTTTAGTTTTCTTATAATTTGGACTCATAACACTGTTTGTTACACCTTTTTCTTCTTATGTTATTTTCCCGGGAAAAAAAAGTAGGTTCCAAAATTTTAGAAAAGTTGATTTTGCAACCACCTCGTCTTCAACCGTTTTCCGTCTCTCTCTCTTACATTCATCTAAATCTGAGATTTCAATATCTGCATCTGAAGAAGTTCTGGATCCACTAACATTATTCTATTTCCATTCTCTCCTTTTATTCTTCGTATTTTACACAAAACTCAGGTCAGATCAGATCAGATCTTCACCGCATTCGATCCATAATGGCAAGATTGGAGAGTTTGATCGGACTCGTCAATAGAATCCAACGAGCCTGCACTGTCTTGGGTGATCATGGAGGCCAAGGAATGTCCCTCTGGGAAGCTCTTCCTTCGGTGGCCGTCGTCGGAGGCCAGGTCGGTCACTCTTTCCTTTCAATGTCTTCTGCATTTTCTGATTTCTCTGCTTTGGTTTCCTCTCAATCGATTGTTTTGGTGGGAATTAGAGTTCCGGGAAATCGTCGGTGCTGGAAAGTGTCGTTGGAAGAGATTTTCTGCCTCGTGGATCTGGTAATTCTCGTTTATCTATGTTTGGATCTGTGTTTGATATTTATGTACTGTCTAATGTTGATTATTTAGTTATGCATTATTGTTTTTCGATGAGAAAATGAAGGGAAAAGAGGTGTAAATTAATATTCTTTAAATCCCTAAACTCCACATTATGAAGTTGTTGGGTCAATTGGGCTGAGCTTTTCAGTTTTTTAAGAAACAGAATTTCTTTTTCTTCATGTTTCTCTTTGTTATCATCACAACCAAACACAATGTTAGAAATTTTTTAGGCATTAAAATTCATGCAGCCATTACCTATTGCTATTTGCTTCAATATCAAATTGGATTGACTGCCATTTTTCTGCGAATTTCAAACCAAAAAAGCCCCTTTTCCCATCAGTAGCAGTCATGATTTATAGTCATGACAACTCGATCGTGAAAAATAGAATGTTCTTTTTCTTTAACCATAGTTTGTTTTCACTTTGATTTCTTAAAATGTAAGGTATTGTTACAAGGAGACCATTGGTGTTGCAACTACATAAGATGGAAGGGGGAACTGAATATGCAGAATTTCTTCATGCACCAAAAAGGAAGTTTACTGATTTTGGTGAGCTGAATTTTGAGAAACATCTTCTTTTCTTGGGTTTGACATATATGTGTATGCATGTGTTTGTGTAATGTTGAAATGATGATTTTTGTGTTCCTAAATTTGCAATTTACTTTCTATTTGAAATGAAGTTTCTTGCTTTACCGGTCACTGTGTTTTTTGTTAGACTTAAAAACTGGGTTATTTACAGTTCAAAGAGAGACAACTGAAATGAATCCGTAACACGTTTAAGAAGAGATCCTCCATTTATTATACTTAATTGTTTATGAAAATGGCTTTTTGCCACAAACAATGGTGTTTGGATACTAGTATGGCATGAGACTTGAGAATGAGAATGGGGCATGGTGGACTCTTTTCAACGTGAATGTAATATTCTAAATTAAAGATCAAAGTTTTTTCTGAGTTTTTTGACGCAGTAAACTTACCTGCATAACTGCAACATACAGATTAATCTATCTTTAATAGCTCGAATTGTACCTTTTATCTTCCCTGCTTAACCGTGTCTAGAAATTAGGTCTCTCATTGAATATCAGTAGTTCTGTACTATCAATGTATCCGTGACTGTAGGTACCTGACTTAATGCTTCATTTTGTGAGAAGGTGGCATACATCACCTCACCATCACCATGTGGCACCGAGGTGGCAGCCAGTGACTTGCCCCTCTGCCTCATAACATCTCCAAGAAAGTCTCTATGTGGGATTAGTGATAAAAGTTACATTAGAGACAATTATATTCGGTCCACGGCCACACCTACGCTTTCCTACACATCTACACATGGTATCTCCAATAGGAACAACATCCATGGTTTATCACTCCTACACATGGCATATGTATGAATCATTTTGGTTCCCATCGCTGACCAAGCAAGATTTGATTGATTTTTCTTCCTTTTGTTAGATTTCCTGAATTCGTTATTCAGTTACGACTTAATTACCACACAACCTTAAGACTACTGGTCGAGGTGAAGGCATCCCTACGTGCAAATCTACATCATGACTTCAGGAAACTTGACAGCACCATTCTCTGACTCTGCAGTCCAATAATCTAGCTGTCTTATGCCTTCTCGGCAGACTTTTGTTTAACAGACTTATATTGTCATTGACAGGCATAATTTTGATCTCCAATACATCTGTTGTCTTCACCTTTCATACAGGTTTTTATCTGTGGTAGGTTTACTGCCCCAATGTGGCTCGATTCAGCATTTTTCTGACCGTGCACAGCCTATTTCCACAGATAGTCTCTGATCTTCTTATTATTATCTTTTATCTTCTCCGTAGGCATATCCATACAAGCCTGATTGCAGACAGACCTTGCTACCTTCTCCATAGGTACATATGATAATTTAATGGGACCCCTGCCTTCTCCATGAACACACATATGAGATTGAAAGTTGTCTTCTCCTTAGACACCCTTTGTTGCCTTCTTCAGATATACCTGAAACAAAAACCACTGCATCCTGATACACTTCACACATTGCATAGGTTGAGAGAAGGACATTGTGTATAGCTCGGTGTGTGGCTATTAATGTGGCTACCTCTTGGTATGCGGTCATGTGATATCCCACTTTCCAGCTATCGATGTGGCCTATCTCGTGGTTGTGGACATGTCATAATAACCCACTGGGATTTTAGAAGAATTTTGCTTGGTGGCCAAAGTTCAGTGGAGTTGACCTCCACTTGAGGTCTACAAACACCTTGACCTGAATTATCAAGGGATATATCGCATGTTGCATGATTCTAGGATGATATCTGCTCTCTATGACTGGGTAATTCCTTATTAGACCAACTCGGTAGAGGTGTCCACTGCTGAACCCCATTGACACATCGACTGAAGGCATCCCATTGGACCACAACAAAGTTGACTTAAGATATCGGCTGCCTCGGCCCCACCTGGTGCCACTCTATGGCTGTGAAGCTGCCCGCTGCTAGTCATTCAAGGCACAAAGTTTTATAGCACATTAACAATTTCTTGGAGGCAATTGGTTAATCTACAGAATATTCTGTTTTCAAATTTTATTTTTTGTCTTGTTCCCTTGAGAATTGAGATTGGCTAATTAATAATAATGCACTGAATGGCTAACGGAGCTGTGGGCTCTTGATAGGATTGTGGTAGAAAGAAATGTATATGTTCATATGGGTTTGCACCACCTTGCTTATGTCCACTAAGATTGAGTACCTCCATCTCCTTACCACTTGGAAGTTATGAATAGGCTTACTCCAATACAGAGTGGGACTCTATTTCCAGAAAACAAACTAGAAAAGGAATTCATTCTTCTGTGACTGATTTGACAACCAGTACATAGAAAGAAGGGCTTCCTACTATTTCTTCCCCAAAAGTAGTTCTCATTGTTACAGGCCACTCGTGCTAATTACTTCACTACCTCATTTTTTTTTTTTTTCTTGGTCCATATTTTCATTGCAATTATAATAAACCAGTCTAGTATTTCTATATGTTTGATCTATTTTCCAGTTATTACAAACTTACAGTACTTAGGAGTTGGAGGTTTGATTCTGGTGATGGCACAAGATTTAAGCACTTGACATTTGTCATTATTCATCACTGATTTATCTTGTCTATTCTAGTATATGTAATGAATCCACTGAGTCTCTTGTCCGTGTTCTGTTAATATTCTGATGGAGGAAACTCTTAATGAACACCTAAATCAATTAAGCGGATAAACTCATAAATCAGCTTATGTACGAAACTTCTGACTGACTGGCATCATTTTTTCCTTTTACTCAAGTAATATCATCCTGAAATGATTCTGCTTATCAGACTGTATTCAGCGGTGACTTTTTTTCATCCAAGTTTATGAAGCTAGGCGTGCTCTATAATTATCTTTACTCTTCTTTGTTTGAATACATAGTAAAGTTTTATAACTGATTTGAAATACAATTATGCATCTATTGATGAACACTAATTTTATTTATTTATTTTTGCTTATGCAGCTGCTGTGCGTAAGGAGATCCAAGATGAAACAGATCGTATAACTGGGAAGTCTAAGCAGATCTCTAATATTCCAATTCACTTGAGCATACATTCTCCAAATGGTGTGTATTCACTCTGCTCTTATCTAGTACCCGAGTCTTGGTTTGTATCACTGAACAGTAATGTTATACTGAATATTTGAACTATATCTGTTTATTGTATATGCTTCTTTTATATCTTATCCTGATACTTGCGATGGTACCTGCAACTCAACTGAATGTGCTTTATCCCTTTATGGGTCATCTGCAAAAATATTATTATGCCACTCTGTTTATTCTAGGGCCACACGTCCTTTTGAGCCATGTCATTCTTTCCTCCTCTTTTCCCTGTTCAGTAAACAACCATGTTATTCCTCACTGCTCCAATCCATGTTCTTTTTGTTTTTTCCTTCATCCTCGTAACACCCACAACATGGACAATGCAACCACTCTTCTTGCGGATGCAACCACTTATATGATCATGTTTGCATGAATCTTGTTTCTTTTGAAAATACTGATGTTCTCTCCCTCTCTCAGTTCATATTAAATATAGAAATATCTATTAAATTCTTTTAATTATCTTAATTTCTATTTACACCTGTATTGAAAGATATAGGGTTTATGTTTCACTATTTTATTGAACATATCCATTCAGAGTCAAGGTTCTGTGCCATTATAGCTCTTATTGGCATAGAGACCCAATCATACTACCAAATGCGTATAAAGCTGGGGGCCGGATTATAGCCAGTCCACCCCTCCTACCACTCTGAATTGATGGGAAAACCTTGGGCAATGGTATTTGGTAATGTTCATCAACATGTGTTCTAGACTCTAATTATATCAAATGGAAACAAAATATGGCACAAAGAAGTAAATTTTGCTGCTTATTTAGCAGTGTGTATGTTTGTTTTTCTATTTTCCCTTTCTTTTCTGTTCCTTCCCTTGTCATGTTACTGAACCGTGTATTCCATTAAGGCTGTTGGTGTTCTTTCACATTTATTTATCATGTCTTTGCCGTGGATATAGGTCTGCTCTCCTATAGGGCTATACAATTCTTTCTACTGCAGTAACTTCTACATAATAAGTCTTTTACCCCTCAGGGCAGTCTGATATTATTTCAAGGAGTTATGTACTAGAGTTTGTCAATTCTTTTAAGTTGTGTGCCTTTAAAATTAACAAACAATAATCTTGGAGAAGACGCTACAATGTGATATTACTGAGATCACAATCAAGGCAGAATCCCAAAAATTATTATAAATATCTATCTTGACCAACATAATTTTTCTTCAATCTGCATTCTCATTTGCAGAGTGAACCTACCATGCTTCTAGTTTAGCCTCTTCTGTCCAGCATAATGTAATAAAAAAGCTGACAGATATATTGTGTTCCATTATTTTTGTAACAAATTCAAACCTGCTAGATCCATGTTCGCATGGAAGTGGAATTATGATGGTCATTATGCTATTGTCATATTGTTTATAAAAATTATTGTACTAATTGATGCTTAGGTAGAGAAAGCATAAAACTTATTGGATACCTCGGTTTAAGTAGTGGTAGAAAAGGACAGATGCTGAAATTTAGTTCACAATTAGAAGAATATTTTGTAATGTGATTATATAAACTAAACTATAACATGCCACTGCCAAATAAGGAATATGGAGGGCCTGTGGGTTTAGTTTTTGTGTTAACCTAAAAATGTTAAAGTGCTTGTAGTCCCCATTAGAGCACGTGCACTGATGAAAATTTCCTGTTGACTGCAAGCATAGATAGAAGGATCATTAGAGAAAGAATATGCATTTGCTTTATGAGAACAGAATAAGTGTGTTTCTCAATTATGAGCGTTTCATGAAGGATGATAACTGAACAATAAAGGGAAAAAAAATTCTACCTTTTGATTTCAAACCCAGTTCTATTTGGAATACTATTCTCTGCCAATCTATGCACTATAACTTGAGGGTAAGTGGAAGCTTTACATTCTCATAAACAGCTCATAAATCATAATATGTTATGTAGGTAGAGATGGATACCAAGTGTTATGTCATTTTAGTAACTTTAGTAGATATCCTGTGAAAATGATGATGTAAAGATGGCTATGCTTAGCAACCTTTATCTACCAATGAAGGCTCACTTTTTAACCTTATTGGAGTTGCATGCCATAAGGGACCTAAAATACAACACTAGAGTTTATAACTTAGGTGCAGAGTGAAATAGGTATTAGTCTTAATTATCAGCCAAATCATCTTGGCTTATTTTTCTTACCAGCTATCTTACAGGGATTTCTTGTCATTCAACGTAATCCATAAATTTTAAGGATTTGACTCCCAAGAGAAGAATAACAGACAATGCTTAGACATAAAACCGCCTGGGCATGAAGTTTTTAATGCTTCCTTCATACTTCATCAGTTTCTTTACTTTTAGTGCAAGCACTTGTCGAGGACCTTGCCACTTTAATGCATTAGCATTTTCGAGAATCATGGGCTGTGACATTATGTATGATACATTACCCTCTGATCTCTGATTTGTCATCTGAGGCTGTGTTTGGCGGCATGGAAGTGGAGCCTTGGAATTGAAATTGGTGGAATTGAAGAAAAATTTGGTTCAATTTTCTGAGTTGCTTTTCTCCAATTCCACCAATTCCAATTCCAAAGCTCCAATTCCATGCCAGCCAAAAATAGCTTGAACATATTTTACTTATTTTTTTCAACTCACTTTAGTTTGGAATTATGACTTATCATGTGCATGGTTTTGTGTTGCAGTTGTAAACTTAACACTAATAGATCTGCCTGGGTTGACAAAGGTTGCCGTGGGTTAGTATCTCAATTATATTTTTCATGCTTTCTTATGATAAGAATTACTGGAATTTTTTAGTTACAACAGTTTTTGCTTTTTGCAGAAGGACAGCCAGAGACTATTGTTGAAGATATTGATAACATGGTCCGTTCTTATGTTGAGAAGGTGAGACCATTTATTAAGTTGAGTCTATGAATCTAGAATTTACCTCCAGACTGCTAGAAGAGATGGAAAATTGCATATTGTATTGAATTCCATAAATCATGGATAGTACATAAGGCCCTTTACATAGGCATGAGAATTTGTAGGTTACAGTCAAAGTGGTAACAGTCAAGGAGGAATAATTACAGTGGCTACAATCAGGGAAGAATAATTTCAATAACTATGCAAGAGATCAGTCAGCTAATCTAATCCCATAATTATAGCAACAGTCAAGGAAAAAGACTAAAATAAAAGAGTAAAATACCCATGTGGGGTAAGCTAATTACAAGTGTGCCCCAAATATAACTATTCTAACAGCTATGAAGTGTTGATGAATGCTTCAGAAATCCCACACTCCAGAAACTTAGAGCATCAGCCATTTGATTTCCTAGCAAATGAGTAGATGTTGTTATAATGGGAAAAATAGCACTTGTATAATCGAAATTTTTGGAAAGACTCGAGGAATATTTACTTCAGAGAAATATTTGTGTTTATAAGGAAAAATTTGATGGTAATAAGATCTTTCCATATTACTAGATCTAGAATACTTTTTAATATTTCCAAGAAAATGGGATTAAGCCATTGTTCTTAAGACTAAAACTATAATCCAGTCATAAGTATGTACTCAAACCTCCAACTTGTGGGGCATGTTTGGTGAGAATGGTCTTTTGGTAACAACTACCTATGTATATGAAGATACTGATATGTAAAGTGTATGCGTTATTGAGGGGAGAGCAATGCCGACGGTTATATACAATGGTTTTACATGTATAGTTGACTATAAAATGTAGTGTGAAAATACAGATATAATATATAACACACCCATAAATGCACCATTAATCTTATCCATTGAGTAGAGCAGAAAGCTCTCTGAAGCTTTTGAGTCTTAGTGATGGTAAATCATGCTGAGGTGATGAGGGAGATTGGGGAATGTAAGTAAGCAAGCTGAATAATAGTACCGGATGAAATAGTAATCAAGACACTTGAATGGCACTCTGATTATTTTGGCCCATGGGTTGGGAGGGCGTTGCTTTGGAAAAGACCACCATGTTGTTGGCTGAATCATGGTTGTTCGTTTAAGAAGATTAGTTTGAAGACCTGATCCTTTTTGGTCAACATAGAGAGCAACCATGATAACTAGAAGTGTGAGTTTTCTCCGCTGATGTCATAGAAGACTAGAGCAGCACATCATTTTTTATATCATTTTCATTTTTGTGTATGGAAACATATGTTATTCTGTTATCTGCTTTGTGGGAATTGAAATCAATTTTCATCATGGAACTTGTCACTAAATTGATAAGGATTTAGGTTTTTCACTGCATAATCAACTGCGTTTTTTGTTTCATTGGTCATCTAATGGATTTCACTGCTTTTGTAGCCCAATTGCATTATATTGGCCATTTCTCCAGCAAATCAAGATATTGCCACTTCTGATGCTATAAAGCTTGCAAGAGAAGTTGATCCTAGTGGTATAGTGAAATTGGTGGTGAAATTTTCTTGTCTATTAATGGGAACATTTGTGTACAAGCCCAACAATTTATTTATGTATCAATCCTTTATATATTTTATTTGGTATTTCTAGGTGAAAGAACATTTGGAGTGGTAACAAAACTCGATCTGATGGACAAGGGAACCAATGCCCTGGATGTATGAATTCAATACTTTTTCATAAATTGTTTGTATTACACAACGCATTTACAATTACTTTATTGCAATATCTAAACGTTCATTACACCTGGCTCTTTATCTTTAAGGTTCTTGAAGGAAGATCATACAGGCTTCAACATCCCTGGGTTGGAATTGTGAACCGTTCACAAGCTGATATCAACAAGAATGTTGACATGATTGCTGCTCGTCGAAAGGAGCAGGAATATTTTGAATCTAGCCCAGAGTATGGACACTTGGCACATAAAATGGGCTCGGAGTATCTTGCAAAACTTCTATCCCAGGTTCCCCCTACCTCTAACGTATTTGTCCCGGTATTGACTATCTAAATTTTAAAAACACCATATATTGAGCTGTTTTTTCTTTTTTTCTTTTTGGTACAACTCAGCATTTGGAGACTGTTATCAGGCAGCGGATACCAAGTATTATTGCTTTAATAAATAAGACAATTGATGAGCTTAATGCTGAGTTAGACCGTATTGGCAGGCCTATTGGTTCAGATGGAGGGGTAATGAATAATACCTATATAAAAACCTGTATTCTTGGTTATGAATGAGTGTTTGCAATCTTGGTTTAATTATTTGACATATTTTACCTCTATGCACAGGCCCAGCTGTACACGATTTTAGAAATGTGCCGTGCATTTGATCGTGTATTTAAGGAGCATCTGGATGGAGGGTAATGCTATAAATTTAACATCAAATTCTATTTAGGCTTTGTTTATATCTTCATTGACAAAATTATGATATTACTTGGCAGATTATTATCAAATGCATTATGTACTTGATAAATTGTTCAAGTTTGTGGCCAAGATCCAAGTGTACTACTTACATTTTTTTTAGTATCTACTAATATAAATTCTAAATAAATATTTGAAAATTGGTATCACAAGAAGTCAAGAACTTGGGTTCTTGTGATAGACTTATGTTTAATATTTTATTCTTCAACTACCTTCTTGGCTTCTAATAATATTATATATAATTCTGGTAAGTCTTTTCATATTATTTGTTTTTCTCGTATAGTATAAACATTTGATTTTCTTGTTCTCTAGTTGTCCTCATAACACCAGAGAAAGCAATGTAGAGTGTAAAATATAGTGATTTCCTGGGATGTATGCACCTCGACATAGTAAGATGTGTATGGATGCTTGTACAAACTCAAATATCCTCAGAGCACTAGATTAATTTGGTAAATTCTGATAAAGTGAGTCACGCATATAGAGTTACAACTGGACAAAGTGCAGCTTTGCGGATTTTGATGAGAAGAAATTTTGAGCATATAATTGGATTTGGGCCCTGATATCCAATTTTCTGTATTGGGACAATAACTTTTTTAGGAATGGAACTGAATAATTTTAATTTTAAAAATAAAGGAGGATAAGTATACTCTTATGATTTCTACTTTTTGAAGCCCATAGAAGGGAAATGTTGTCTAAAGGCATCATCTGGGAGAAGTTAGAATGTTTCTTTAGCCAGCTTAACTTTGGTCTAATTCCATTGCCTTGTGCCATGTCTACCACCAGATCCACCACTGTGATCACTGCATTGCCTCTGCCACCGCCACAACTACAGCTCACCATTGCTAGCTTTTCTTTGTTTAACAAAGCTGACTCCATCGTCATTACTAGCAAGTCATCATTCCACTGCTGCTACTAACATCACCATTCCAGCAGCACCAACATGGCCTTGAGACCACTTCTAATGCTACCATCATCTCTCCCAACCACCCATCACCGGCACCTTCAATATCATATCGCGTATAACGTATTACCTTTCTGTTGCTTTCATGGAACTAAATCCCACTGAGAACTCTTGTAAATCTAATGCTTTCTAGCTAAGGATTTGACTTTGTTAGCGAAGGATAATTGTTGATTCTGAAACGATATGTTAAGAAATGCTTACCCGATCCATGCGTCACATAATAGCAAAGCCTAATAGGTAGGTTGCACTGTCTAGTTCAGAGGAATCCAAAATTAAGGATATCATGGTTTTTGTGGAAGGAGTTTGATCAGATGTAATTAAGTGGTCGGAGGACGAGAGAAAGGTCCTGCAAGCCTCTAGAACAATTAAGGGAATCCATTGACCTTCATAACAAAAGTAACTTGGTAAAATTGGCGTACTCAATTTGAGAGCCTGACTATCATTATATACAAGCGGAAAATTACAAATATGGAAAAGAGAATAAAATCAAATCAAAATAAAGAGAATAAAATCAAATCAGAATAAAAATAAAATCCCTAAAAATTAGCCTATATTGAAGACCCAATAAATCTGCCATAATCGTTGAGTCAACTTATAGATAAGATTTCCAACACTCCCCCTCAAGCTGGAGCAAATATGTTGACTAAGCCCAGCTTGACGATGGAAGACTGGAGAAGAGAAGGCCCAACAGACTTTGTGAACACATCTGTAGTCTGTTCTGAAGAAGGAACAAAAATAGGATTAATGATACCCGATCGAACCTTCTCTCGAATAAAGTGAATGTCTATCTCAATATGTTTTGACCTTTCATGTAAAACAGAATCAAAAGCAAGCATAATGGCTGATTTATTGTCACAAAACAACCTTGAAGAACCTTTCTGTATAAGACCCAACTCTCCCAAAATTGATTGAAGCCAAAGGAGCTCATAAGTACCTTGAGCCATAGTGTAATACCCCGATATTGTAAAAAGGATTTATTAATTAAATTAATTTATATTATATTATTATTATTATTTTTAAGTGATTTGTTTTATTTAATTAGGTGCTTGATAGTTGTGATTTGTTTTATTTAATTAAGTGCGTAGGTAAATTGTATTGTTTTAATTAAATTATATATTTTGTAATTTTATTTGTTAAATTTATACGGTGTTTGATTTGTGGAATGCTAGTTAGTGAATTGTTTATTTGATTTGCGTGATTTTATGTTGGTGTAACTTTATTTAATTTCATTTTTTTAGGTATTTAAGTTATTTGGGTTGGGATTAAAGGAAGTTGGACCAACGGATGTGGTATTGGGCTTGAAGGAAGCCTTGTTGGGTTAATTGGTAAAGGCCCGTGGTTGTGAGGATATTTAATAATTATCTGTGCATAATTATACCTATATAATTACATGTGTATATTAATTCATTATTAAATCATGTGGAGGGGTATATATGTCAATATAATTATATATTGATATATATAGGTATATATAATTTATTTAACTAATGGTTATATATGGGAGGTAATATATATATGTTTATAGTAAAATATATGTATGTATATATATTATTTAAAAGATAAATATTATTTATTTTATATGATAATCCTAATGGGAAAAGGATTTAGTTAAAAGATAAATATTATTTATTTTATATGATAATCCTAATGGGAAAAGGATTTAGTTTTTGTATGTATATAAATAGACACATAAGACTCTAGGGTTAGGAGTTTTTCCACGTTAGAAAAATAAGAGAATTAGAGAGAGAAGAAGAAGGGCTAACGAAGAGGAGGCCGGATCAAAGAACGTAAGAGGAGACCGGATTTGGAAAAGAAAAGGCGAGTTCCTCTCTACTTCTCCTCTTAGAACTCATAAACTTATCACCTTGATTATCGAAATTATAATTTTATTTTATTAAATTAAATTATTATTCAGATTGTAGGAGCATATTTATTCTTTACAAAATTATAGAATTAAACATGTGAATATATGTATGCATTGTTCTGATAATTTAGATCTTGTAGGTGAGGTTAGGTTAATTAAATTTTATTTTTCTAAAATTTTTATATTTTGCGTTAACCTTGTGTAGCACGATTAATTAAATTAAATGGATTTTAATTTAATTGTATATGTTCATTTATGCCCAAAATAATAAATAGAGCTTTTGGGATTTTTCTGAGATTTTCTGAACAATTTCTGAAATTAATTTATATTTTTAATGTTAATTTAGAAATTGTTATATATATATATATATATATATATATATATATATGTTAAATTGTTTAACAAACACACTGGAGGCGGCTAGTATTTGCGCATCAATAGGATTTTTATCCAGTGTGGTCGCGTACGTAGGAAAAGGGTGCACTCGTTGATCTAGGCCATAGGATTAATTTTATTTAGTTGGATTGATCTGGTGTGATGCGGTCCATTGTAAGTTGATACACATGCGGCATCAATGGTTAGATGTAGTTGATTAAGGGAGAGGATCCAGTGCATCGCGGCTTACCAAGAGCACCAAACAACAACCAATTAGGAGCTGCCAACACGCGCCGAGAGTGGCTCAGGCGCGTGAGGGCGCGTGCAGGCGCGTGGACGCGCCTGCCGGTAAGGGGAAGCGGGTGGAGGCGCGTGGGAGTAGTCTAGGGGTATGTGGCGGCGCGTGGAGGCGCGTGGGGATGCGTGTGAGGTCCTGGAAAGTTGCTTGAGACTCCGGTGAATTTCCAGTATTTATCTTAAGCGGGTTAGGATTAAAATTAATCATTAGAGGGGGTGTTCTTGATTTTCTGAGAGCCTCAGAGTGTTACTAAGATACCTAGTAGCATTTAGTGGTATAAATACACTTAATTAAATATTTTTGCAATGAAAGGAGGTGTATATATGTATATATATATGTAGATATGATTTTAAATAGTCAACGATTGGTATGGAATGTATGATACACACATATATATATATTATAAAATATATGTGTATATATAGTATTTAAGATTATTAAAAATTATAAATCTTGTTTGGTATGACTTGATTCGTGGATGGTATGGTTGATTTAAAATCGTGATAGATACACGGTTATTAAATTAAGGACATGCTTATTATATGCATGTGAAGTCTATAAGTTTAAAGTTAGTACATGGTTGAATTGTAGGCATGGATGAGTTGCCAAAGGCTTTGATATATTGCCTTATTGGTTATGAATAAATTTCATATATGGGAAGCATGGTTGAATTGCTAATTAATTGCAAAAGTAAATATACGGAAGGAAGCATGGTTGAATTGCTAATATATAAATAAATATATTTATAAATGGCATGGTTGATTTGCCGGTGCATATTTAAATCGCTATATGTGTAGATGACTAAATTACTGTTTAGGATGGAGTTAAGGTGAGTGGGGTTTACTTTATGAGAAAATTATAAAAGGGGGGGCTTGGTCTAGGTATGACTAATAATTAATTATTGGTGAGGGGTTTTGACAATTTAATGCCCTATTAACAGATAGGATTCTTGTACTATATATATAAGTATTTATATATATTGGTAGCATCGTATATTAAAGTTAAAGCTTAATTAGGGATGGTTTTGGTAAAGATGATCTGTTTATTGGTTTTCAGAGGCTTGGTAGAGAGAACTTGCTCGTAGGGTTTAACCCGCGATTTATTTTTCAGGTTGTTAGAATGTCAAGTCTCAAGATTGAGGATCCGTAGCTGGAGGACTTATCCATTCCTTCTATTTGCTTAAAAGTAGGATATTAGTTTTGTTTCAGTTGATATTAGTATTTATTTGGTTGAAATTCTAAAGAGTAACTTTTGGTTAAGGGGTCCTTGAGTTACGGGATTCCCGAGTTGTAACCATTTGGAAGTTATTAATGGATTTACTATTAATTGGATTTCTTCAGCGTTTTATTTTATTCTTTATTTCATTTTGTAATCCGTGCTTGTTTAAATACTATAATTGGTTTGATATTCCCTAATTTTGTGCGCGGACTTGATCAACCCG